GGGTTAATTTAGGTGTTTCATATATTGTGTTAGCTAGCTAATTAATAGAGAGAAGTGTCCTCTCTTATCTCCGTGCTTGGTCGACGCTACGTACTATACATATAGAGAGGACTAGACACGCTAGCTAGCTAGTAAGCAAATGAAGGAAACAGAAAATCGTCATGAACATATGCATATAGAGAGAAGTGATATCAACCACCTCTCCTTCTCTGAGAGATTGGTCGAACAACAAGGTATAGAGGTCAATCAAACTGATAATTAGCAAGCATGCTAAATGGTATTGATGAAACTAGTGCTTGAATCACTAGGAGATGCGTGGAACATGCTACTATAGTACTTACTTTCGGGTGTCTAAATGGCAGCTTCTTCGGCAGTCCCGGAGTTTTTGAGGTGAATTTTTTTCAAACCCTGCCAGCAGACAAAGAAAACAATTATTTGATATCAGGCAATAAACAAAAAGTTGCCGATATGGTGCGGTAATGATCGATTTAACTTACTTCTCTAGCATTTCAGTCATGTCCGCATACTTCGTGGGATCTTTTCGTCTCGAGTCTAAGACGGTTACTAGTCCCTACTCAAGCTTAATCTGTAGGAGAATATAGTGGAACCTGCGCATGCATGCATAACTCATCAATTACATTACTACTATAACCTCGACTAATAAAGGAAACCGAATATGCAGAAGACAGTAACACTCACTTGAATTCGTAAGGGAAGAGCATTATAGCTTTGTTTTGATTTACTACAAACGATTTTAGCAGCTTGGCCTCGGTTTCTTTGGCCTGAGATTTAACCATATATGCATCTATGAGATTTGTGTTAATGAACCTAATATCACCGACTTGTCGTTTCTTCAATTCGGCGATCTTCAATCTGCATAATATAGTGAGGATAATTAAAAATACATGCAATGAAAGAGCTGACCTATATATAGAGACTTAATGACAGAAGTAGTACTGTACTTACAGGCAGTAGCAAGTGATCATTAATTTATCGAGGGCCTTTAGATTGAAAAACGCGAAGAACTCCTCAAATGGAACATCCAATAGTTCAATTCCAACGAGGTCATGCTCCTCTCTGACCATCAGCGTCAAAATATTGCTCCCCTCAGACTCTCTGCAAGTTTTCATGTACCAATCATGGAATCTTTGCAGCATCGTTGGTAGAGAACTTTCATCTTTGACGAGAGGCTTCCCGTCCACGTATTTGTGTTCGTCCACCTCCAACAAATCATAATGTACTTCGTGCAGGTAATCTTAAGGATTGTTATAACCGGGCACCATCCCACCCGGAACATTAGCGACGATATCGCTAGACACCTGGAGCGGGGGGAACGATTAGTTCGCTTGTTCGCCGAGCTGGGCAACTTTTTTCCCAGCTTGTCGTTCTGCTAACCTTTGACCACTGACAGTACTTCCTGACCGCTCCGCTTCGATAAATGACTTTGTAAGAATGCGTTCATAGTTGTCTTTCACTGGAGACTTTGGTGATTTCTTCAGGGCAGCCAGAGTACGCTTCGCTTTTACTGGATCTATCTTCTCCTCTGGAGGTGGATTTTTCTTTGCTTTGACCCCTTCAAAGAAGTTGGTCACTTCGGCTTGCACGATCTTTGCGTTTTCCTCCTGGCTCCTCTCGTATGGTAACTTCTCTGGAGTCTTCAGAGAAGGACCGTATTTGTATTGCCTGCCTCTCGATGTACTGCTAGACGCCGGAGCAGACGGAGCGGTTGCGGCTGTCTTTCCTTTCTTACGAGGCGGAGGAGAAGGACGATGCGCCGGAGCAGCCGGAGCGGCGGCGGGTCTCTTTTGCCCTTGTTGACGACGCGGAGAAGGAGGAGGCTGGCTACTCGGGCGAGCCAGCGCAGGCGGAGAAGGAGGCGGAGTGCCGCCACGCGCCGGAGAAGGAGGCTGAGTGCCCTGATCACTCGCCGGAGGAGGCGGAGGAGGAGGAGGAGTGCCCTGACTCGCCGGAGGAGGAGGAGGAGGCGGAGGCGACCAGTTCGGAAGGTTGATGAGCTCCTTCCGCCATAGGCATGGAGTCTTCAGAGAAGAACCCAGCCGAATCTCCCCTTCACCCGTAGGGTGGTCAAGCTGAAGGTCCTCAAATCCGTCCGTTGTTTGATCCACCATCACCCTAGCATATCCTTCTGGAATCGGCTGGCCGTGGTAGGTTGAGCCAGGTTCATTTGGTATAACAGAGCCAACAACCGCCTTGACTTTCAATGCCATCCATCGCGTCATAAGGTGGCAATGTTGAGACTCCGTGATAACATCCATGGGGTAGCTAGCAGGAGCTGTGAAGACAGGCTCCAGCTGCTGAGTCTGCTCGGTGGAAGCCATGCTGCTTCTCCGCTGAGATAGCGAGGTAGCTTCAGGGGAAGCTTCGGCAGGTCGTTTGCTGCGATCTACTTCTCGTTCCTCTAGCCCTTGTACCCTTTCGTGCAGCGCCTGCAGTTGGCTATGCTTCACTTTCTTCCTCCTCTCCTGGGTTTTGTAACCCCCTACGTCCGGAAAGTCAGCCTTCCACGGAATGGAGCCTGGCGTGCCTCGTGTCCATCCAGGGTGCTCAGGATTCCTGAGGGCCATTGTGAGCTCGTCATTCTCTCAGTCTGGAACGAACGTCCCTTGCTGCGCTTTCTCGATATACTCCTTAAGCCTTGTGACGGGTATTCGCAGTTGCTCTTCCGTCCAAACGCACTTTCCTGATACAGGGTCCAAGGTTACGCCAACCCCGAAGAACCAAGTACAGCAACGGTCTGGCCAGTTCAATGTCTCTGGTTCGACCCCTTTAGCAATCAGGTCATTCTCAGCCTTGTCCCACAAAGGTCGGGCTTTGAGGTAACCACCTGACCCAGTGCGATGGTGATGCTTCTTCTTTGCAGCATTAATCTTGTTTGTCGCTGACATCTTCTTACTTTTTTCCGATGTCTTGTGGGCCACAAATGCAGGTCATTGATCTCTGATCTTCTCATACTTTCCGATGAATTCTGGTGTCTTTTCTTTGTCGACAAACGTTTTCAGCTCATTCTTCCACCTCCTGAATGGTTCTGCCATCTTCTTAAGAGCATGAGACTTGATCAATTGCTCTTTAACTGGCTTCTCCGGATCCTCCTCTGGCGGTAGGGTGAAATTTGCCTTAAGCATTGTCCAAAGATCTTCTTTCTGCATATCGGAGACATAAGACACCTCAGGGTCTTCCTTCTTAGGCTTTAACCATTGCTGGATACTGATCAGGATCTTGTCCCTCACAAGAACCCCGCACTGAGCACGAAATGCATCCCTTGTCCGTATGGGTTCAGTCGGCTTGCCATCGCGCGCGATTGCTGTGATCTCAAACCTTTCATCCGAGCGCAACTTTTTCTTCGGGCCTCGTTTCTTTACCAAAGTTGAGCTTGATCCGGAGGGCTAGAGAAAAGAAGAAAGACGAGAGTTAATTAATATGTGTACATATGAAAAAAATGAATGCATCAATTAACTAGTCAGCACGGGCTTAACTAATATATATATATATATATATATATATATATATATATATATATATATATATATATATACCTGGCCGGACTCGGTTCGGTCACCGGAGCCGTCATCACGGTCTCCTTCTTGTACCTCCATTGGGTCACCGGAGCCATCATGAACATAGCCCTCTTCTTGTACCGGCATTGATGGGTCACCGGAGCCATCATAATCATAGCCTTCTTCACTACCCCGTCCTTCCTGACCATCGGTGTCGTTGAGAAACGACACAACGACATCACTTCCTTGTGCGATTATGTCCCCCAACATCGCTTCTGTTGCTTCGTCTCAGGGGTGCTCCATAGTTTCTGCAAATATTTACAACATGTCAATTATTATTCAAACATGACAGATGGATATATATTAATGATAAACGTAGAACTAGCTAGCTAATCACAATAAGGAATTATATTAGTGGCCTTGACGCTGCTTCTCTAGGGTTTGGGGTGGCCTCGACGACAACGCTCCTTTAACTTGGTAAATTTGGGTGGCCTCGAGAGAGTTTATCAGATAGGGACGCGGCGGGAGGGGGTACGAGACCGACATCGTTTTTTCTCTAGGGTTTGGGTGTCCTCGAGAGTTCTGGTCGAAAGAAGAAGAAAAAAAAGGAGAAGAAGGAATAGAGGAGTAGAAGGAATAAAGAAGAAGAAGGAATAGACACAGCCGCAAAGCAAAGTGCCAAATATATGTTCCAACCGCCTGTTTGACGGGGTTCCCGACCTTGACAGGTTCACATACAACAGCCTTGTCATTTTTACCAGTTTACTCCTGCTTGCTCATCCATTTACTAGGGGCCTCTCCCTATTCTGAACCAGCACAATTACATTTTCAGTTATATACTATGGCTGGCCTCAAAAGAAACCCATCCTGTTGCTGTTACAATAGAGCTAACTGAAACAGATTTTGCTCAGCAAATGTCATAAGTAGCCAAGCAGTGGAACCACAAGACGAGGTAACTACTCAACATACATGGAGTATTCTTCCAACCACATGTTAAGAACAAAGATCCGAGACACACACGCAGTAACTGCTCCAGTTACATATCATAATGATTCCCAATTAGTTGATCCAGAAAAGGTTTTAATAAAGACAGTTCATACTGTTATCACGCACTAGACAAAATGTAGTCAACTAATGCCCTTGCTCAATGCCGTCCCTCCTCAACCTGTCCGAATTGGGGATTTCAGAAAAGTTCCCGGATTAAAAAAATTCCAATTTTGAAAAAAGTTCATGCATTTAAAAATGTTCATGGATTTCGAAAAATGTTCACAAATTTAAAACATGTTCATGAATATCACAAAATGCTTGACGGTTCAAAAAACATTCGCAAATTTGTAAAATTGTTCCCAAAACTAAAACAAGTTCATCGATTGAAAAGATGTTGATCCCCGAACACTCTCGTTCTCTTTTTTTAAACTAAGGAAGACGGTTTAGACAAAAGTCATGAAGTGGCGAAAATAAAACGTTTACTCGCTTTGCTCCCGCCAAAGCTCAAAAGACATCTCCTTAACCTCCGTGCACCGGTTTACGTTTTCAATGTACCGATAACAAAAAATATTAGTATTAAGCAGCGTATTGTGCACTAGTTCATTTATTTTACACTAGACTGTTTTGCGAAATTGCAAGAGACTGCAATTATAGTGGATCTTTGATTACCAGCAAAGGACACTTGTAAACAATTTCTCACATATACATCAAATATATGCACATATATGGTGGTGGAAGGACAGGATTTTTTTGGGAAGGTTTTAAGAACAAGATTACATTGCATAAACATATATAAGCGCATCAGAGTGGGTATGTCAAAACTGAACAAACATGATCAGCCGAAGATCAGCAATTCGGGTGGTGAACCAAAGATAGGTGCATGCTCTTCCCAGCTATGAAACCAGCTGACAACATTTACATAATGAGCGGTCAAATGGATCAAGCACCCACATATCATGTATGTGCTTGTTATACTGAAAACTGTAACTATCATAATCTCTTCTAAATTCAAATTGCGCATCTCTTGAAGCTTTGTTATCCAGCTGTAGTCGCCTGTGCTGATTAGCCATCCATTTCTCATTGCAGGTATTACCGCAAACACCAAATTTCATTACCTCAAGTACCTTCGCATTCAGGACAAAGAACTTGGCGAAGTTAACATCTGGTCTCTTGCCTTCATAGGTTTTCAATACTATTGCTCTGAGATGGAGTTCAAGGCATTCAATAGGATCAAGTGTGTCATATTGTCGCACATTTTTCATACCCATCCTGAGATGTGACTGCAAAATGATAAATAAAGCATAAACGTCACTAGATCGCAATAAAAAGAGTAACTGTTTTGCAGGCAAAGAGCTATTTCCTCATCGCTGGCTTCCAAATATCTAATCATATTTGGATTAGTTGCATGATTTGCGAATTTAGGATTATTGAACAATGTAGTCCCCTAACACGTTATTTTAACTTCAACTAAGGCATCTTACCACTACATTTGCCATCTTAAAATTTGCGGAAAATGACCCAAATTTTTATACTGCTGAAGTTAATTTAACAAGAGTGTACTAATTTTTTTCTTATTTCCATATGTCCAGATTAGGCGTCAAGAGAGATACGAGCAATCAAAATTAAACTCCACGTAATTAGTTTTACTGGTAAGTTTTTTCTGCAGTGATTAGCATTTAGCAACAAAGATTTCACCTGGATGTACAACTTCTCTATGCAGGGAAAGTATCTAAGGAATCCAACAACAACATCCAGATTGGGGCCAATAGAATCTAGAACCAAGATCCTCACTGTGCGCACTGAAGTAGTCAAGCTGATGGAGATAATTTCCTGGAGAAAATGAATAATATATGTCAGGCTACGATGCAAATAAGAACGCTCGAATGCGAGTTTCAAGAAGGCTTGTCTTACCTTAGCAATTATGGTTCCAAGCTCAAATTCGGAGATTCTGGGAGTCAGGTAGCCCAACACTGCCAATTTTGGTGCGGCGATGACCCTACTTGTTCTTGGACCCTCTTTACCTAGTTGGATCAATCTTTCAAGGCATGGTGCATACTCAATAATAAGCTCCACCATATCTGCTTGGTTATGAACATAGACAACAATACTCCGGAGAGTCAACGAGACGATCCGGACGATTCTGATCCCATGGATACTCTGAAGATCAAGGCTCTCGAGCACAGTGCAGCCAAAAAGCAGGCGGTGGAGGGCCAACTCCGAGATGGCAATGTCGTAGAGTTTGAGCTGCTTCAACTGAGGGAGAAGAAGCGTGGGGGCAATATCAATCCTAGATAAATCGCAGCCGCCGATGCTGGCGAGCCGCAAAGTAGGCACGAATCGGACCACAGAAGGAGGCACCAGGCTTTGCGAATTTCTCCCATAGAAGTCGAGCTCCTCGAGGCCATTGAGGGCAGGGGACCGGAACCAACCGTCAAACCTGGCATACAAGTTGTTGTGGAGGCAGATGCTATGGAGGGAAAGGTGACGGGCTGGTCCAGGATGCGCAGCGAGGATCTTGGAGATGATCGCGGTGCAGTCACGCTCTTTCCAGGACCTTTTGAGCAGAAGGTTGTAGTCTATGACAAGGTTGAGTGGGGCTGAGCGCCAGAGGTGTCGCCACCGGGAGGAGAGAATGGGTATCCGTGCAGCCTCTTTAGTGGGGAGGAGGGAGATGATACTGCCAAGAATCTCGTCAGGGAGGCGGCTGATGAGGTCAAAGTTCTCGTAGCCACCATCCTTGTTTGCCGAAGGCTCTTGCAATTCCAGCTTGTCCCGCCTCCGCTTCTTGGACAAGGAAGCCACTACATTGTCCATGACTTCTGCCACAAAAACATCAGCAAAAAATCAAAAACATTTTTGTTTGAAAGAGCACAGGAACACAAGTATTTTAGCCACCACAACTTGAACCTTTCATTTATGAACGTACGGCATAGTTTGGACTTTGGAATGAGAATAGTTTACAGATGTAAACACATGTCAAAAGAATATTCACACACAAATTAACTCCGATCTAGGAATTGACCAGCTCTATGGCTACAAAGCATGTGCAGCCCAATAGACAAAACGACTCATTGCTCATATGTATATACTGCCATGCAAGAAAATCGTTCGCGCGTATACAGACTTAAGTGACTCAAACGGCAAAATTTCTGTAACACGATCTGTGTTGCTGCTGATTCCAGTGATTGTAGGCATGTTTATGGCAAACCAACACATACATAGCTCTCTCGGCCAAATAATACCAGATTTGGCCCAAGACTTTGGCAAACTGAAACATTGCATGCCTCATGAAAGTAAATGTATAGTACATGAAAGATAGGCCAATAAGTAATTTCTAGGTTCACAGTTTGGCAAACAAAATATAGTAATTCTTTTGTATGCACTTTCACAGTCAAAATTAAGCGGAAGATTTGTGCTTCAACTTGTTTCATAAATTCTACCATTATTAGCTATAAATTTGAGGATCTACCCTCCCCTGGGCTTCCCTCTGTTGGTTCCCATCAGATTGCTAACAGCAGGTGAATATAATAGGCACGAAGCAAATATTCTAGATGGAGCAAGTTCCCATCAGATGTGGGAGGGACTCAAAGACACGTCAGTCGCAACACAGTATTACAACTTTACAAGCTCTTACCCGAGTAGCCTCCAGCCGCCGCCGCTGCCGCCGCCGCGCACGCGTTGCCGGCGACGATGTGCCTGACCTGAACCTGGCGATGGAGGTGGGTCGGCGGGGGACGAGGGTTTCCCGTCCGGGTAACGCAGTGGTTTCTTAACGCTGGGTGTTGGTATTGGGCCTACATCTGTAGCGGGCCTAAATCCCACCGCGGTCTAAGAGCATCTCACAGCCGCGCCGCAAATTAGTCCGTTTTAGCACGCGCGCAACGCGGTGGGTCGCTCCAGCGGGCACGCAAAAAACGGCGCGCGCGCTATAATGAGTTGGGCGCGCGGTCAAAAGCACTATTCCCGCGCGGTCTATTTCGGGCGCCCGCTACCGCGCGCGGCACACTCGAGCGCTCGCGCTCCCACTTCCACCCCATTCGGCCGCGCCGCCGCCGCCGCCCGCGCCCCCTGGCGACCGTTCAGGCGCTTCCCCGGCGTATCCCCGCGCCGCCACGCTTCCGCCGCATCCCCTCCTAGTCCAGCCGGCCCTCGCGCGCCTCCGTCGTCCGAGGAACAGCGCCCGAGCGCTCGCTGCCGCGCCGCGCCCGCAAGGTGTTCGACAAAATGCCTATAAGGTATGTATTGCTCAAACTTCATGAATTTGGTGCATGTTTTGAATTGTAGTTTTTATAGTATAGTATTGAACATTGTAGATGAGTTCGTCGTATGATTCTTCGGAAGAAGAATTTGATATGAAAGAGGACGAGGATCTTGCAATGATCATAGCTATGCATATCAATAAAAAACCAAAGCACGGTGGTTCGGTTATGGGTCGGGATAAAATTTGGAGAGATAGGATTGATGCCCATAACAGATTGATGAAGAACTATTTCGTGGAGAATCCCACATACCCGGAGTCGTATTTTCGTCGCCGGTTTAGGATGAGCACCGACTTGTTCAGGCGCATTGCAGAGAAACTAGCGAGCCATGACCGGTTTTTACAGCAAAGGAGGAATGCCGCCGGAGAGCTCGGGCATAGCACCTTTCTGAAGGTGACAGCCGCTTTGCGTATGTTGGCATACGGTATCCCGGCTGATCTAGTTGATGATCACTTGGCTATGGGTGAGAGCCAAGCCATCATGTGTGTCAAGCGCTTTGCAGTGGGAATTGTGCAAGTGTTTGGCGAGGAGTATTTGAGATCTCCCACTGCTGAAGACGCCGCAAGGCTATTGGCGATGAACAAAGCGCGCGGCTTTCCTGGCATGCTTGGCTCAATAGATTGCATGCATTGGAGTTGGAAGAATTGTCCAAAGGCATGGCATGGGCAATTCCACGGCCAAAAAAGGGTTCCACTATAATCCTTGAAGCGGCGGCCGATCAGGAGACTTGGATTTGGCATGCATTCTTTGGAATGCCTGGATCTTTGAATGACATCAATGTTGTCAACCGGTCACCACTGATGAATAAGATTGCAAACGGTGAGTTGCCACTGGTGCAGTTTGTAGCAAATGGCCGTACGTACAACTATGGCTATTATCTAGCGGATGACATCTATCCAAAGTGGCAAACCTTCGTGAAGCCGTTGAAAAAGCCGGAAGGTAAGAAAAATCTTGACTTCCACAATGCTCAGGCGGCGGCTAGAAAAGATGTGGAGAGAGCATTTGGGATTTTGCAAGCCCAATTTGCTATTGTGAGAGGACCGACTAGATTTTAGGATCAGAAAATGTTTTGGTACATCATGCACGCTTGTGTGATCATGCACAACATGATCATCAAGAATGAGCGTGGCCAAGATTTAGACTACTCACAGTATGAGCTCTTGGGACATCCCGTGCAAGTGCGACGGAGGGTTGAAAGAGTAGCCCGTTTTATTGCCTCCTATCATGCCATTCGGCGTCCCGCAATGCACAATGAACTTCAGAATGATCTGATTGAAGAGTGGTGGGCATGACATGAACGACAAAGAGCATAATTTCTGCATTCGACATTGTATTGTTGAACTATTTGTTGTGTTTATTGCATTATTTGTTGTACTGAACGATAAACTATTTGTTTGAGTTGTAATGATAACGAAATTGAACTATTTATTGTTGAATTTTTTTGTTTGATCATTTTTGCACCTCGTTTTGAAATGTATATGTGTTTTGTGCGTGCTGCGCGCGCTGTATTTTTGCGGCTGCTGGAGCGGCGCGCGCGCTGCATTATAGCGCGGCTGCTGGAGCCAGCGCTGGCGGCTGCGCTAAACCGGTCGAAGCGCGCGCGGTAAACAGTTTTTTTACGCGTGGCGTGAAGCGCGGCTGTTGGAGATGCTCTAAGCATCCAACTAAAAAAAGTACAAAACCGGTCACCGTTGCAGATTGGATTCTTTTATTTTTTAGCCAAATATTTGACACTCGAAAATGTGGGTGTACTTCTGAATAAACCAAGTTAAGACATACGCCTTTTCTTCTTCTTCTTCTTCTTTTTCTTTAGTTTTTCATTCAGAAGTGGTTGTTGTTCGAACAAACATGGGATCTCCATTTTTCATTCTTTTTAAAAGAAACACAGAAGCAAAGCACACATTGCTGCTCTCTTTTTTTGCGAGAAAAATTCCAATCTATTCATTTTCAATCATGGCAGTACAACGAATACCAGAAATAATAGAAATTACATCCAGATCTGTAGACCACCTAGTGACGACTACCAGCACTGAAGCGAGCCGAAGGCGCGCCGCCGTTATCGCCCCTCCATCGCCGGAGTCGGGCACAACTTGTTGTAGTAGACAGTCGGGAAGTCGTCGTGCTAAGGCCCCGTAGGACCAATGCACCAGAACAACAACCGCCGCAGATGAAGAATAACGTAGATCAGAAAGATCCAATCCGAAGACACACGAACGTAGACGAACAACGACGAGATTCTAGCAAATCCACCAAAGACAGATCCGCAAGAGACACACCTCCACACGCCCACCGATGGTGCTAGACGCACCGCCGGAACAGGGGCTAGGCGGGGAGACATTTATTCAATCTTTAGGGAGCCACTGCCGTCTCGTCTTCCTGAGCAGGACACAAACCCTAACAAGACTGAAAGAAACGACTAAAAACGAAACCCTCCCTCCGGCACTTGTCGAGATCCACCACGCCCCCATCGGAGAGGAGGCGGACCTGCGGTGGCGCCGGCGGGAGGCAGAAACCCTAACTTTTTTGTGGAGGATCCGCATTGCTGCTGTTCTTTGGGCAAAACACAGCAAATACAAAATGACTGCATTACATCGCTATCATCTATGCATCATCCGCAAACACAACAAATAACCGACATCTAACGCATCTGCGGAGCCCATCGATCTTGCTCATCGGTGGAGTGGCGCAACCAGCTGCTTCACGCCGATCTGGCGGGCTGGAGCTCACGCATATGGCATGGGGCTTCATGGGTCCAAGCTCGCCGGCCGCGATTGTCCTACGACTTAGCGGATCCCAATCTCTCAGTGGAGCAACGCA